TTCACCTAAAGCGTCGACTGGGTAATCTTATATCGCTTCGACAAAAGCATAAACCAATCTAGGTCAGTTCAATAAAGCCGCGTAAATCTCATAGCGCTTCACCAAAAGCGTAGACTGGGAGGCGTATATCGCTTCAACAAAAGCGTAAATAAATCTAGATTGAGTTCAAGAAAAACATCGTAAATCTATACCGCTTCACCAAAAGCGTAGAGGTACTTATGCCGCTTGGACAAAAAGCATGCGTAAACATTTTATTTATGTATTTTAACCAAATGCAACAAAAGGCCTATAAATATATATCGCTTAAACGCAAGTGTAGGTAATCTTGGCCATCTCAATAAAGGCGTAATTAAACCGAAGTGGCAAATTGCTTCAACAAAGGTATCATAAATCTAAACCCTTAATTCAAATCAAAAGGAATTTGATGCCGCCTCAACAAAGGCGTAAAGAATGTATATCCTGTACTAGACCAAAATCAAAAAATTTCCTATATGTCTTTCAAAACGCGGGGGAGATATAACAGTGGTATTAGTATACTAAGGAACAACTATAATAATTATAGGATACAAAGCTCCCGCCCTCAACCCGTTACCTAATCTAGCAACAGGCTATGGAAAGGGTTATACACACGAAACGTCGACCCGGTGAGAAGCACGACATCCGACTCAGCCTCTGAACACGGGTATCCCGTCGTAGACAGAATGTAAGGCGTACTAAGAGTGCCTCTCCCGATGAACAGAAAGCAAAGTAGGAATTGCACTACCAGAAGGAAAACGAGACATGTGGACAAATCCCGTAAGCTTTTGAAGGAGGAGCTTAAAAAACCCTGTCCCTTTCAACGAAGCTAAGCCTAAAGCACTAACCCTGCCGAGTAAAAACAATACGAAGAGAAACCTGCACTGGGTATACGCGGCTCTTGAGACTGTACTGGCGGATTTACGGGGTTATTGATCTCGACTGCAATATCGTTTAACTGTACGGCTTGCTGAGGTGGTTGGTGTTCTGCTAAAACCGCATCAATATGCACTGCCAGAGGTTGAACGGCTGGGTCGTCCATATCCAACTTATGGCTCGGCTGCGACACTCCAACAGCAAAAAATTCCTTCCTGTATATGCAGCCAGGTCGTCTTCGTGGCAAAATGTGAAAATTTGCTGTTTTCCCGGTCTTTTATACCAACCGTGTTTATTCATGCGATTACTCTGATGCTGCTTATATTTGCATTAAGTTTTAACGCATTAATATGGTATTGTTTAGCGAAGCGCCCAGTGAGAATATCATACTGAAATCACTCATGTAATTGTTTGCTCGGCAAAACGTGCTACCCCGGTCCATGTAATCTGCCCCTAAATGATATGATTAAATGTTGATTGTTGAATATCAGCGACAGCGATTACTCATGGATGCAGTGATTTCGCGGTGGTAGTTTCCTATTTCTCGAATATATTATTTATATTATTGTATAACCGTGAAGTTACAAGATAAAAGTATTTGTCATGCACATGCACGATATAATTTACCACGTATGTTTTTCTATACTCCATATAAATACACTATATAAACATTTTAAATATCTTTTTGCTTAATGCTACATATGAGCGCAGTATTATGCTTCCCGTGGCTGGGTCATTGCGATGTCAGAAGCAGTTCAAAACTTTCTAGTACACTGTTATTTTGAGGGAGTTATTTTAACTCCTAAAATAGGAGTTACGGAAAAAGGTACAGAACAACTCACTTTTTGGAGTTAAAAGTAACTCCAGATTTGGAGTAAAATATTAACTCCGTTTTTGCAGTCAGAATAACTATCATTTAGGGGTTAAAATGTAACTCTTAAAAAGGAGTTAAGCAGTGGTAACTCCACTATCGTAGTTATATTATTTCTACTTTCAGAGTTCTGATGCAAATTGTGTTTGTGTATTGGATTATTAAACTAAAAACATTAAAGCCAAAGGTTTTCGTAGTGTCATATTGGTAAATTTATGTCACAAAATTTCTTATTATCAATTCACTTGCATTTGTATAATATTGTGAGTTGTATATTTGAAAAGACAGATCAATACAAAAGCTCTGAATTGCTAATTGTCTGAAAGGATCACCTTTTCATAGCCCACTTTTAAATAATTCTAACATCAGTTGTTGCTTTTAACCTCAATAATACTCTTCCTATACCCTAAATTATGAATTACTTCTGAAAGACTTTGATTACTGTAAATTTTAAAGTGATAAAATGACCTATTTAAAATTGATTTTTGCATCCGGCCCGCTTGAAATGCATCCGGCCCGGTGTGAAATGTGAATAAAACGGCCAAACCAAAGCAACGTAAGGCTAAGATGTGTAAAAACCTTTCCGGAAAAGGCTAAAAGTATGTTAGAAATAAAAAACATACCCGAAAAACGTCTTAGTTTGGATTTTTACTCCTTTTTTCGCTGCATTTTACGTTGTTTTTCTAGTCGATTTGCCCGAATTTGCCGTGATTTAGTTGCTATGGTAACAATATCTGCCATTTCATTGGCTGTTTCCCGACTAGGATATCCTTTTAAGGAGTTGTTGACGTATTAAAATTCTGAAATGGCTTGTAGCCTTGTAGATTGCAGAAATTATAGTTTTTATATAGTTATTTGCTAATTTTTTTGCTTTTTTTGTGTTTCATGAAGTCAATAATGTAAAGGTAAAAAAATAAACACGTTATATACCGCAGCTTCAGCCCGGAGGCAAAAATCTGTGCTCTCGGTCTCGAAAACTTCCCTCGGCCAACGGCAAAGGTTAAAAAATAAACACATTATATTTTACCGGCAGCTTCGGCCCGGATACAAAAAACTGTGCCGACGGTCTCGAAAACGGAAATAACGACCTCACAGCCAGAAATAACATATATAATCAATAGATCATCGTCAGCCCTGCCGTTTTTCCCTATTTTATGGGGGGAATGGCTTTGATATACAGATGAACAGAACAGCCTTATAAACTTGAACTTAAAAGTTAAATGCCGTAGGAAGAAACTTTATACATCGGGATGAAGAAAGCGATATAAGTTAAAATATAGGGTTTAGAAGTCAAATTATATTAATGGCACAAACATTCGTAATATTTACAAGCCTTTTCCGCCTTTTTCACTCCAGAGTTAAATCAATTCACGTTTATAAGACTAAAATTTATAATAAACTATTAACCCGCTCCTCTTGTGCACGCCATTTTGAATTTTATTTAACTCCAAAAAGAGAGTTGAATTTTTATCACCCCCAAAAAAGGGTAATAGGTGAGTCAAAATAACTCATAAAAGAGGGTTAGATTGCTTAACTCCCCCAAAAGGAGTTAATTCTGCATAGTTAATAAGGTCTAAAAATTATTAACCCCTCAAAGAGAGTTATTTTTACTCCAAAACTATAGTTAAATTTTTAACTCCACTAAAAAAGGGTAATGGGAGAGTTAAAATAACTCCCTGAAAATAACAGTGTAAGCATGCTGCTTTTTTATTATCACATCGTTTGTTTTTTCTGCCTTACAATTAGTGCAAATTCGATCCTTCTACAAACACATCCTTTTTCTACACCGTCCATTCCCGTTACAACGACAGCATCGAGTCATATTTAAACTACAAGCAACTACAATACTTACGTGGTGTACCTACAAGATAATTTACTTAACTATTATTTGCTTTAAGAATAAATGGATTTATTACATGCACAAGCACTGTATGATCTAATGTGCAATCTGATTGTCTCTCCACTATACAGATATAATAAATATTAGCTCATATCGGTCTAGTAGAGAAACGTAGTAAACAAAATAGCTTTGGAGTAAAAACTCTAGAGTGAAACTATTCGACGGTTGATTAAAAACTATAGATGTACAAAATTTACGGTTTTGCTTCGGTTTTTCTGTATTAAAGGTAGAAAGAAAATGACACAAATCAATTTTGAAAGGCATATTTAATTGCTATTGAAATTAGTAAGATGGCTTTAGACGGTTTTAGCTAAGCTATTTAATGCAATATTTTAGTACTTTTTAATCAAATGCGTTCCAGATAGTAGTGGCACCAGGCTACTAATACGAATTCATGCATTTCTTGTTTGTTTCAACTGTAAATACATGCCTTATGCCATATAATAAACTTTTTATTAACCTCGTTCGCTCGGTTTTCACCGAGAAATATCGGATCTCTGACCTCGGTCTTTCTCATCTACAAAGAGACCTGGGTCCGATATCGATCACTTGATAAGAAGTTACTAAAGGCTGTTCTCCACTTACGCGTTTTTCATACGCACGTACACGTACGGAAAATTTTAAATGCTTTTAAATTTTTATTATTTAACATCTAGGTCAACTAATGCATACTAAAATATGCAGAAAATTAAGTTCCTTCGATTTATTCACTTAGTTTTTTCAAAGGTGACATGTATAATTGACTTTAAGGCTGTTTTCCACTTAGCTACGCGTTTTTTATACGCACGTACACGCACATAAAAGTCTATAAATCCCTTTTACATGTTACCTAAGTGAATAAATCGAAGGAACTTAGTTTTCTGCATATTTTAGTATGCAATAGTTGACGTTGATGTTCAATAATAAAAAATTCAAAGAATTTAAAATTTTCCGTGCGTATAAAATACGCGTAAGTGGAAAGGTGGAAACCAGCCTTAACTCACTCCAGTTCACCCCAGGGGCCGGTTGTATGAAAGCCGGATAGCGCTATCCACCGGAGATTGGTTTTTTCAATCGCTTTTAAATCACCTGTTGTTAGGTATAACTTTGAATAAATCTTAGTATTCCTAAGTCGAGGATCCTCTTTAATAATATCCAAAGCCGAGATTTTATAGCTTTTTAAGCATTTTTAGAACGGTTGAAAAAATCACTATCCGGTGGATAGCGCTATCCGGCTTTCATACAACCCGCCCCAGTACTGTTAAAAATTTAAGTCAGGAAAACTGAGGAATTTCAATTGCACGCCAAGGAATATTTAAATTTATCAAACAGACAGTAAACTGACTGATTTGATAATTGTTATTCATGAATGATGCGGTCAAAAAACAAACGATCAGTTCGTCATATTTCTTCTGGTAAAACGATATTTTAATAGATTTCTGATATTCGCTCCGTTGTACTTGGAATAAAAAGGTATATTCTGAATATTTCAATCTATTACACAATTTACTAGCTTACCCATGGCTATAAAAGCTGCCTGAAAGCATGATGTCAGTGTTCAGGCAAAACACACATAGCAACAAGATGCACAGTTATGTCTGAGTCATTTTGTGCAACATTAACAGTCTTTCATGTAATGTTGGCTGTTTCTCCATACACGAGCAAATCGAATTGTAGACAAGATCTTCTTGTCAGAATTCAGATTCAGGGTTACGATTACAGACAGGCTTTGGTTGGTCAAATATGTTGAATAAACACTGGATTGCTAGCTGTTGAGATACTTATCATGCATGGAAGGCGAGCTTTTTGTTAAGTTTTTAGCCAGATTCAGACGTAATGTTTAGCCACTGTTAATTTAAACGCGGTGAAGTTCACATGAGAAAGCTTATATTTTGAAATGTAATTATGTTAAACCAACCGAATGGATTTCCGATGTAGGATTGTGAACAGCGTTGTTTTAGTTTTACTCGAGAAGACATTCAGTCGAACTAAGCAATGTCTGATCGTGATAGTCGAAGGGAAAGCGAAAATTTAACATTCTAGAAATACTATGGCTGTGCAGATAATTCTGCATAGGCTTAAGAATTTAAGAAAGTCGGTAATTTGGCGACTAACTGGAAAAAATTGCGTCGAGGATGGGAGATTTATGCTATACTGCCGCATTATTTACCGCATTATTTTTGACAATCATTATCCAAACCGAAGGGAATGTTTCATGAATGTATTCTACGGTTAGGAATGGTAAAGACGATTTAGCTAAAGTTCTAAAGAAATTTGAAGAGACTCTTGTTGTTGAAACAAATGAAACCTACGAACGCTTTTAGTTTAACAGGCGTGACGGTGAAACAATCGAACAGTATAAAGCTGCAGTTTCTGCAAGTATCTTCAAGCAACATTGCTATGAGATTGAATCTGTTGGAAATATATGAAACGAAAGTCAGTGCGAAAGAGGTTTTTGCAAAGTTTCGCCTGAAATTTGGCGAAGCAACGAAACAACAACAAAGAAATTAAAATGCATGCTGATATATATAAGCATCGTTGCTAAATCACCCACGCATGTCCAATATTGTAGCAAGTATACCAATACTGTAATAGACAAAATTATTTTATCATTGGTAGTTTATATTTTCGTGTTGTGAATACGAACATGAACGTATACCAATGGTAAAAGGGAAATTGTACCAATGTTGTAAGAGTTTTCGTATCGTCAATTGTGTCATGCTGCGATTTTCTCCTGCTGAGCGCGGTCTCACGCATGCACGCTAAATGACCTTAACCATTACATTCGAATTTACTAATATGACACCGTACGGCGTACGCTTCGCAATATTAAACTTAGAAGTCTCTAGGAAAAGCCTAAACGGCTCAATTAAACCGCGCAAATACTCGAACTGCGAAGTGTTAAAAAATGTGACGTTTATATATTTATATATTTTTGCTCCGTTCTTTACATAAAAGCTGAACGTCTGAAGCATTGTCACAACTAAAATATATACTTTATAAGTTTATTGCGAATATATATATTAAATATTTGTATATTTATGATTGCTCCGTACATTTATGATTGCCATGTTCCCAAAATACAACAAAATAGATGAAGAAATATCACAGCAATATTCCGATTATCCGCTATAGATATGCATTTATGAATGCTCCGAACAGATTGACTGTTGTCATTATTTATTATTCCTTCGTTGTTTATCACACAAAAGCTGAAGCTGCCTGGTCTCGTGAAATATCATGTGAAGTGTCAGAATAATATATTCTGGCAGTATTTTTAATTCTTTGTTTTTAATGCTTTGTCTTAAAAGCGAGGTTTTGCAAATTTTGGAAGTGGGGGAACGCCGAACGCGTATTCAGTTAGATTTGAATGGGCGTGGCGTATATATGGGCGTGGCCTATATATCGTGGCCTTTTCGCAACCAGGATTTAGTATATTTATCTGGATTCCAAGCATTAATCGGAGGACCAACGAGTTTAATAAATATTAAATTCGATATTCGTTCAACCAGTAGGCGATTTCTTACTGACGGACAAACCAAGTCATTCGACTAAACCCACGTTCCGCCGATTAGACTGGGACACCGAAACATCTCAATAAATGCTGGAGATCGTCAGGTACTCGTCTCTCTTGACTATCAACATAGTCTTGGAACGCAGGCACTGTTGAACTTCTTGGAAGGGAAAACCGATCGCACAATAATCGTACCTCTTCCTCACCATAATTCAGAGCAAGATCCTGTTGCCAATAAGTTGGGTGAGAACGCAAATCTGATGAAGAAGTTTCTGATAGGCAGCACTTTCGCGAACAGTTCCAGAGGCACATGTGGCAAAGAGACGATCTTTCATTGCATCTAACAATTTGTATATTAATGCATTAGCATCAATAATGACATGTCTACGATTGGAAACTAGTGGTACTGCCAAATTTTCCTTCCATGACCGCATCCTATTGGCTATCATCAACTTTGTTCCAGTCTTGCACTTCAATGTTTCGATGCTTCTCATGAATTCCTCCGACTCGATTCGCTTGTTTAACCCCTCGTACATTGTTGAATTCTTTCCTTTTTCAGCTTCTTTGTCTTTGAAGTGTTTGCAGGGTGCTTAGTAGTAGTTGCTCCAAACTGCCAAAGCCGTCCTGTGACTACTCGCAACCCATCTCGTACGCAGTACCTTACCAATCTTAAGAAGCCGGACATTTAGACTTTTAGCAAATTCTCGAATTTCGCGCACGTTTTTGGGCGATTGGCTGTAAATTGAATACAGTCTTTCAACAAAAATCCTTAAATGGTTTATTCTCGTCAATTCTGCAATTGCATCGTCAACCGCAAGTTCTAAGCGATGATTCAAACAGTGCCAGGTGATGAGATTTAGAAAATCATTAATAAGTAGCTCCATGACTCCCGACTTCTTTCCAGTCAAGACACTAGCTCCGTCTGTTGTAAATGCAACAAAATGTTTTTGCAAGTAATCCATGTCAAACCCATGCCGTTTTAAACAAGCCAGTAGTGCCTTATGAACCTCTTTTGCACTCTGACCATTTGTCAACCCCACGAAGTCCAGAAACAAGAATTGTGCTTCTCCTGACCTTTCCAGTTGAGCTTTTAAATAAATTATCAGTGTTGAAATATCTGACACAGTAGTAGACTCGTCGATCAGAATGGACACTTTCCCTTTGTTTTCTTTGATAGTCCTGCAAATCGTGGAACGCATCTCTCATTTTGGCCATCTCTTCTTCTCCTTTATGTGCATCGCGCACTGTTTAAATGTTTGTTTAAATATCCGTCCAGATCGTTGGCTTGTCAATCACATCAGCCGCTGTCGATGGACCTGCAGCTTCGTCAATTTCGTTGGTTTCGACACGTTCACTATGTTCACCTACATTTTCCGGTTGGGGTTCTGCCCGTTCTGGTACTTTCTCGTTGTCTGCAAATATATCTTCAGCTGACTTTTTAAAAAATCCAACGATTGTAGATTGTTTGGACATTCCCTTACCAACTTATAAAACCTAATATTCTATTTCTTATGCGGTGTTTTTAGCGCGAGTATTTAGTAGACTTGGAGTTGAATTGAGCTGGCGGTTGCTATGAAATACTCAGGACTCAGGACGCTAATATCTTTTGATATTATTTTATTCTTTACATGGAAATTCATTGATACCGTTCTACAGAGATGTCACTCTTGAAAGTGTTTAGCAAGACTATATTATTACTAAATTTACAAGCCATTTTATACTTTAGCTGGTAAAGGCGAGGCAGAAAAACAATTAAGATTAGCGTAAAATATTTAAGAAGTATTACGCACTGGGCGAATTTATTCCCTATCCGAATTATACCGTGTTCGTCAGTTTCAGGCATTTCCTTGCGCACCTACCAAGAACCACATAATATGCGCAAAACATTAGCTTGACTAGACACTACAAGTTCTTCGAAGGTTCTAGATACTAACAAATTTAAATAAGCGGAATCACTTCAAGGCTTGGCTACCAAGCACGGATCTATATATTTTTTTACTATATGTTGAGATCACACAATATATATGTTTATTAGTACTAGGCAATATTACAATAATGGATCATGCATTAAAACGATCTATACTTTATGAGTTCTATACTTTTATAATGAGTTCTATACTTTTATAATTCTCGTTTGGGGGAACGGCGTTCCCCCACGTGTAGTTTTTGCAAGGTGAACGCCGTTCCCCCGCCCGCGTTCTACGTATCAAAGCGACACGAAGGTCAAGTAATCTCGCAATTCGCAAATAATGCATTTGTACGACTGGACAAATTAGTTGATTTACCAATGGTAAATAGCCATACCATGTGCGAATAAGAACTAATTTACCAAGTAGTTCTCTTACCAAAAGTAATATTGATCTCAGGACGATATAATTAATTCACGAAATACAGGAATTGTCAAAGAAAATTACCGCCACAGAGAAACATTCGAATCCTGGCACACCACGATGAATTTTAAACATTTCCCAAACAATGTGAAATAAAAAATATATAAGTTTAACCGAAGGTTTGAAAGTAAACCTTTTATACTCTCAAACGTCTCAATAAATCATTATTTTCAATCCTAGTCACACATGCACTTCATGCAATCTAAGAGATCTGATCAACGACCAAGAGAGATCTCTTGAAAATATATTGCTCGAAAATGAACAGATTGTTATTTCGTTTTATATAATAACGTAAAGAATTCAAGCAATTTCATCGGTCGAGAGCCATGATCTATAAGAGGACAAACGCACGGAATGACGTCACAGCAATTTTCTTGTTTTTAAATTGCAAACAAATAATTCAATTAATTTTCGATTTTTTTCAGTTTTATTATATAAAACAAATAGATTACAATGAACCGTTGTCTGTTCAGTTATAGATACACGGTATGACGTCATATGTGATAAGAACAAAAAAAGTGGCCACGAGCCGCCGGGGCGAGTAGTTGTAATCTATTTGTTAATCTGACGAAGAGGGCTTGCCCCGAAACGTAAAATAAAATTTTTTTTTTTTTTACTTTTTTATATATTTATATATTTATATATATATATATATATATATATATATATATATATATATATATATTTATATATATATATATATATATACAGTAGGAGGCAAAAGTTTGAGTCCAGTGACTGTATTTCATTGTTATAGCAGCATATATTAATATCCTACAGAAAACCTTACCGATAAGTGAACTACAAAAAAGTAAATGAGTAAACAGAAAAATACATGCTGTACAGCAACTATGAGATGTTATGATATTCATTTTACGTATGTTAATGTGCAAATATGCATTACATGTCAATGCTTAGTGTCCCTCTTTTTGCTCTTGAAATGACCTTTATTCTTTCTGGCATAGACTCCATAGGTTTTTTAATGTCGCACGTTCAATACCTTGCCAGCATTCGTTGACCACTTGCCTCAAGTCATCCTGGCTGGCGGGTCTGTGCCTCGCCCATTTCCGGTTAAAACGGTCCTATAAGTGCTCCATAGGTTTTAGATCTGGAATTTGAAGAGGAAAGCCATGAGAACGAGATCACCAAAACCAATTTGCTTCTAAAAGATTTCTGGCACATAAAAGATGTGCATGTGCTTAGGGGGATTGTCATGCAGTTAGACGCACGATCATCTTTGTACCAGACGAAATTCCATGTCCTTGAAGAATTGGATGATACTTTTCTTTAATTAGGATCCTATTATATCTTTCAATATTGCCAAACCGAGCATGACCGAAGCAGCTAAAAGTTTGCTTGAGTAGGATTTAGTTTCTTCGAACCTCTCCAAGGTTAGTTGCATACCACCTTTTTAAATTCTCCCTTTTTCTGCGATCTTACGAGGAAAGAATCCTTCAATACTTAATGCAACTATTTGTCCTTGTGCACCATCACTTTGCTTTTTTCCCCACCCATCTTGGGCAGTGTAAAGGAATAAGAACTTTATTTTGTTATAATTTAGATCATTAGGACGAAAAAAGTGTGCAATTAATATGGTTTACAGTACTGAAACACTAGCGCGCATGTCTTAACTCGAAAACACTGCCAGGATTTAATACTGGAATTCTACAACGACTGGACTCAAACTTTTGCCTCCTACTGTATATATAATATATATATATATATATATATTATATATATATATATATATATATATATATATATATATATATATATATATATATATATATATATATATATATATATATATATATACACAGGATGAGAAACACGAGTTACTTCATCGAATTTTATTTACTACAGAACTGTTTCGTATGACAAGCGTTAAGCTTGCCACACTCATCAGGTAAATAATATGAAAAATACTCATCAGGTAAATAATAATGAAACAGCACAACGACTATATACAAGAGACGCATAATTAATTAGGTCATATTACATGTAGTTGGTTACTAGGTGTTACTTAGCAAAAACTTCTTTCGATGCCGGCATGTGGAAACAAGTTCATTACGCTTGTTCAAAGAGCTTAATTCAGGATGACATATGATGATAAATTTCTCGGATAGGCATAAATTACAGCGTTTAGTTTTATTACAATACGGTTGTGATTTCTTAATGATTTTCCAACTGATAGTGTGCGGTGTATTGGAGTCCTTTAATTTCCAAATATGTTTGCTTAGCTCAGTGGCGTTTTTCTTTGATTTGTTGCGGAAAGAGCAGATATGGTTGAGGTAGCGTGTCTTAAATGTGTTCTCAGTAAGGCCAACGTAGGTTTGGGATTCTCTCGTGCTTTCATTCTTCACGGTCGCTTGGTAGACGATAGCTTTTGTTAGGCATTCACCTTGCAGGGGACAGGATTCTTTCACGCGACAATACTTTTCTTTGTCGGTAATGTTGTTGGCTTCATTACGTAGGTTAGATTTGTTGTGTGACGAAATGATGCTCTGGACGCTTGGCATACAACTGTAACTTAGCTTTAATGTGTTCCGGTTGAATATTTTGCGTAGTGGGTGGTCACGGGGAAAGGAGTAGTCTACGGCTGGCCACAAACCATATAAAAACCTTTGTACGACAGAGTTATAAGAATTATCATCCTGACAGTTTGTTTGTCTTGTTTAGGGGATTGTGAAATTGATACTTAAAAGACAACAATGGATCCATTGAAAGCCAAAGCAAATTATTCCAGAGTATGTCATTTGTTGGTAGATAAAGCTACAAATGCTTTGAGAAATTCTTTGCATGCGGTGCATCCACCTTCCACCTTAGCTTCCGTATTGAATGCCAACAGAGCGACCTTGCAGAGAATACGATACAGTGTAATTAAAGCCTCACAATGGGATCTACTCTTTCCAAAATCTGGTTCACCAGATTCAAACAACTTTGATATCACCCTATTGACTGTCCTGCTCCGAAATATTTGTGGATTGTCTGCACCAGCCACCGGATGGAATGTGATGCCTCCAGTCAACGATACTTCTATATCTGCAAATATTTTAAGAATCAAAATGTTTAGAAATGAAGTCTATGGTCATATTCCGACTGCTGGTTTGGACGACGTAACGTTTGAAACATTGTGGCAAGAAATTTCTGTTCCGTTAGTCAACTTGGGAATTCCTCAAAATGATATCGATGAATTAAAGGTGGCTCCTCTTAGCCCTGAAGAAGAAAGTTATATTGAAAGATTAAAAGAATGGAAACAACAAGAGGATGATTTTAAAAGTGAAGTAGTCAAACTAAGAAAGACGGTTGAAAATGTTCATCTCTCCCATGTCGAGCAACTGGCTAAATTTAACTTTGCTGGAAAGATTCGTGACCTTTGTAGAAAATTTCAAGATGGCACTAGAAAGTGGTTGTTTGATAAACTTTCAAGTTGGTTTGGGAGTGAAGAATCCAGGGTCTTGATCCTAACTGCAGGTCCAGGCGTTGGAAAAAGTGTTTTGTCTGCAAAGCTTTGCGAGCTTTTTAGAGAACGTGGTCAACTCGCAGCTCACCATTTCTGTGACTTTCGAAATTCTGATTACAGCAATGCACAGAGAATCCTCCAGTCTTTTGCCAGTCAAATGTGTGATAATGTTGAAGGATTTCGTGATAAACTTACTGAAATTCTTCGTCGTGAACATTCTCGTGACTCGCTGTCAGACGCATTTCGTGTTCTTTTGAACGATCCCCTCAATGCCCTTGACAGACACGACCCAATGTTGATCATCGTTGATGCTTTGGACGAGAGCAAAACTGACGAGAAAAGCGAATTATTGGAGTTGATATCTGAGAAATTTTGTGAACTGCCAGATTGGATTAAGATATTCATTTCAAGTCGACCAGAGGTACAAGTACGAAAGGTTCTTGAACATCTTCACCCGTGGGAAGTCCGTCCTGATGACAAAGATCACAACCACGACATAGAGCTTTTTGTTCGTTACAGTTTACCTAATCTTGATGATAATAGTATAAGGTCAGTTATTTCAAAGTGTGAGGGATCGTTTTTGTACGCTTATTACTTGGTCAGTGAATTGAAAGAAAAGGGCGTGGGAATTGAACCCGTCCTAAGTGATTACATCTCAAACGGTATTTCGGGATATTACGAAAACCAGTTCAAACGTTTAGAAACAGGCCTCCAAATTTCAAGCAAGATGCTTCATGTCTCTTAAACTGTTTTATCAATGTTGTTGCCGTTTCTAAGGAACCTTTGCCAATAAAAGTTCTTTTCACATGCATGGGTCTCTCTAAAGAAGAATTTAAAATACGTAAAGCGGTTCTTGACCTAATGTCAGAGATTCTTCCAGTTTACGATGGGTGTCTGACTGTTTATCATAAGTCATTATCGGATTGGCTGACATTGAACGGTTATGAAGAACATGCATTCGTTGCAGATGTTGAAGACGGCAATAGACGTCTCTGGCGTGCTTGTAAGAAACAATTCTGCGAGATAGATGCTTTGAAGTCTGTTTTAGAATTCCAAATTTCATCCGAGAGTAGGTACGCTTTAGAAAATGGTTGGAAATATTTGGTCGATACAGACGAGGTAGAGGAATTTCATTGGTTGGTGCATGTTGGTATAAACTTCTTGAGACTAAAATTTTTTTATCGCCTGGACAGTGATTCTTTCAGTCGAATTCTTGGCACGTACCGTTCTAAACTTTCCAAAGATATTTTTTGGAGCCTCATTCAACACCTTTGTTTCTCCGCAATAATAGAAGTTCGCTCTCGGCGTGGAATAGTTGAGATTGGAACATTTAAGACTTGTGAAAAAGATAGTTGTTACGTATATTTGGAAGCACTCGCTAATGGGCACTTTGATTTTTCACAAGCTGCCTTCAATTCAAAAAGTGTAGCTAGGGATATCTTGGGTGGGACAAATGAGATTTGGATAGAATATGTGACAACTGAAAGCAATTCTAATTTAAGCATTGTGCTCGAAGCTGTGGTTCCAGACAAACCACTTTTTGATTTTATTGTGTCACCGAACAATACGATACTTGCTTGCTTATATTTCGCAGACGAGAAAGTTCAAATGCTTAAAATACCAGATCTTACAACTATCTTTGAGGCAAAAATTACGATAGGACCTTGCTACGAATTCTGTGCCTTTTCTCCAGACTCTTCATATATTTTATGTAATTCAATCCGATTCTGCATCAATATTAAAGAAAAGAAAGAGGTCCCCTTCATTAAGCACGGCCCCGTTGGCATCTATTACTGTTCATTTTCTTCATGTGGAATGAAACTTGTCACATTAGAGAAAACGTCAATCAAAGTGTGGGATGTAAAAAGCAAGAATATATTGGTTGAAGTTGAGAATGTGTATGGTGGATGGTCTTATTGTTTGTTTAGTAATTGTAACTCGTATATTCTTCTTTGGCCAAGGGGTGAGGAAAGATCTGGTTCCCCAGTCTTAGATTACATGAACGTCTTGAATCCTGAAACTTTAGAAAAGACTTATAACAAGAATATTCGTGTTGACCAGAATTTGTGTAGTAATGATTCTTTTCAAATGTTCTCCCCGCCTCATTCGTTTTCGGACTGGAATGTTAAAATGAAAATGAATTATATGTGTTTGCCATCTGGTCAGGTAGTTCTTTTTTCCAATAAATATTGTTCAAAAGTCTTTTTGTGGAAAAACAGAAAGTGTGTTGCATTCGTAAATGATTTTAAAAATTATTTAACTTTGGCAGTGTACGATTTCATAAATCAAAGGATCGTTGACGTGCTTGAGATTGGATTTTTGCCTTGTGATACTCATGTCAATTACATTTCGAAATTAGATGGGACGAGTTTCCTTCTATCTTTAGGATTTACTAAAGTACTCAGTGTTTTATCCTTCAAATCTCTTCTCGAATGTCCTGATGCTACTTTTGTTGACAATGCCAAAATAAATTGTCGTGCACTCTCTCCAGACACTTTGTATGTTGCGTGCTGTTTTGAAAATTGCGTTCTTTCAATAAGAAGTGTTGAGAGTGGGGAAACATTGCAAACTGTTGCACTGAAACAACGAGCATTAGCATGTTGGTGGTCAGAGTCGTATCTTTGGTTGGTCTATAAACGTCTGGTTGTTAAATATCGTTATGAACCTAGGAGTGAAAATATCTTAGGAAGTCAACATGAAGAATCTATTGTAAATTTTGAACGTGTCCTTGCATTTAAAAATGGAGTTCTTGTTATTTACGGCGATCGGAAACTTTCTATTTTAAAAATTTGTAACGAAAAACTGTGTTATCAAGAAACACCGTCATGTAGGTTTACTGCTCGCCCTTCTGTCGCAATAAGTTCTGATGGGTGTGCTGTTATGTTATTTTCTGAATTCATTACGTGTTGTGAATTGTGGGAAATAAAATGTGGCAACACATGGATAGTACGTTCAACCGGAGAGTTGGGTCTACCTGATATTCGTTGGTGTTCCTTATCTAGTACAAAAAAGACTCTTAATGTAGTAATCTTGTCAACTGAAAGCTTTTCATTGTCTAATATTCGTTTACTTTCTACTACTTTTCCAAATGGTGTGAAAATTTTGCATGAACTTCCTATTGAAGACTTTAGAGTGGCTGTTTATGTCGATTCTGAGTTCATCGTTATTTTCGCCGGTGAATGGATATTTTTTGTTAAGGTGTCGGAAGGCAGAATCATAGCTTCCAGATACTTTCGTGATCTTCTCTTTTCTAGCAGTGTATTTCGTCCTCATCCACCTCCTTTCTTTCTTCCATCAACACGTTCTCTTCTGTTCGTGGACAGAAATGGCAACAAATATTTAAAAATTCACAATATTGAAAAGTATTTCTAACATTTCCTTTCTTGATTTAAGTAGTTCAGAATCCGATTTCTTGTTTAAATGTGAAAACCACGCGTAAATCAAAACGTTCAGCTATGGAACGTCCTGAAATGCGAAAACCACGGAAATCGTTGAAATGTTTTTTTTAGTTTTTCCTTTCGTGATGTAAATTTTTAAGCATGGAATTTCTTGTTTTAACGGCGAAACACACGCAAATTGTCTGATATGTATATTTAAAAAAAAAGCGAATTAACTTTAACATAGTCAACGTATTTAACAAACACGGAATGCGTCTATGAAAACGTTTGAACTGTGTAATATTAGTACAAAAATATTTTTAAAATATATTTTGTATCCAAGAGATTTTCCTGCTGTGTGTTTTTATAACCTGCGTGTGAGATCGATTAATTCACATACTTCCTTTGTGTACTTGTGATAAGCGTACATGAATATTCAGCCTCTTACTTGTTAAGGGATCAGTTTATTCTACACACAGTGATTCAGTATAATAGCCCTCTTTACTTGCTTTACTGTTCCTAACGGAAGACGATGAACGAAAAATCCTTCTATAATTAACATGGATCATTATTACATGTTTTTCCGCTATGGGTAAAAAAAAGGCTCTCAGCTCTGAAAGAAACATAAAAAATTACGCTGTGACTAAAGGAATACATTTTCAATTGTTTATATTATTTTCCTGTACGTTAAAGGTGTAGCTGTCTTTATCTCACCAGATAGGAAAACATGATTTCTTCCATTAGAAATTAAAATCTAAAGGAAAATATTTTCGTAGCAAGCCAAACGAAGCTATAAAATGAAGGATGTTTTTGTTCATCTTTCTTCATTTAGTCAGAGACTTGAGTGAGCTGAATAACAAGGAAGGTTTAGGTCAATGATTTACCTTGTCGAAAGTAGCTGGAATGAGTGATGAATCATGGATATCTTTACTTTTAGAATTAGTTTCCTTTTTTGTCAAGCAAACTTTTATCAGAAGTTTTTAGCATTCCTCCATTTTTATATTCTAAAGCAATTTTTTGAAGCTCCTCTGGAAGATAAAGTACATAAACCTTTTGGAAAAAGAGAAAGAAACCTGCGGCGAAGCACAATTTCTTGCAGTAGTCAGGCTATAATCAGATCTTATTTTTTCCAATATCAAAATCATATTTATTTTATGTCACAAGATGCAAAAGACCAAGTTTTCTGGAATCAAAATTTAGAAGTAAGACAAGTATTCTGGAATTTTTGCAGTAGAAAACCTGACTAGCCTCGTTTTTGTGTATGTCGCAATAGGCCTCTTGCTCTACTTCGAATAGGTCCATGCATAGTGATGTGAACCCGCGTCATGATGTAAGGGGCGGATTGCATGGGCGAGGCTGGCCCGTTCCCTATAGTTTATTATACTCAATTCAAACGTTTCGGTTACATGGAACCGTGTCAGCTCGGGCTGTGGTTGTGTCAAGCGGGCCAGCTCGGCTTGCCGATATGGGCGTGGCAATTGGGGAGGGGGTTGGTGTGAGGGGTGTGACCCCCTGATAATTCAGCATGATAAGAATAAAGTTGGTCAAATTGCTTTGTTACTTGTAAGCAAATTGATCAAATATACAACAATATTTGTTTCAGTATTTATGAATATTTAAGGATCGTGATACTCATAGAAAAGTTGACCAATCTCCTACACCCATGTCATACACAAATTTTTATTTTCCATTATCGAAATTGGGACAATATTACGTGACACCCCCTGCAATCCTAGCTCGTTTGCCACGGCCCTGCTGAGTTGCTGGGGTAGAAGTTTGCATGTAGTCGTTTTAAGGCGGGCAAATTAAACTGGGCAAAAATCACAAGAATGAATATAATACTATAAAACCCAGGAAGGATTGAAATTATTAAGGCTAAACGAGACATTTACACGATTGATTTCAAAAAATTTTCGCCAAACTATCATACTGAAATCACTCATGTAATCGTTTGCTTGGCAAACGTGCTATCCCGGTCCATGTAATCTGCCCCTAAATGGTATGATTAAATGTTAATTCTTGAATATCAGCGATGCATGCAATGATTTCGCGGTGGTAGTTTCTTTTTTCTCGAATATATTATTTATATTATTGTATAACCGTGAAGTTACAAGATAAAAGTATTTGTCATGCACATGCACGATATAATTTACCACGTATGTTTTTCTATACCCCATATAAATACAATATATAAACATTTTTTAATATTTTATCTTTATGCTTAAAGCAAATAATTAGCTTGTAGGTACACCACGTAAGTAAGTATTGTAGTTGCTTGTCGTTTAAATATGACTCGATGCTGTCGTTGTAACGGGAATGGACGGTGTAGAGAAATAATGTGTTTGTAGAACGATCCAGTTTGCATTAATTGTAAGCCTAGAAAAAACAAACGATTTGAAAATAAAAAAGCAGCTCGTTATTTTGTTGTAACTGTTATGTTTAAGAGATAACTGTATTACGTATAATCACTATATCATCTTATAAAATTTATTTATAATATATTCATATAACCGTATAGTATTCTCTTCAGTCAGACTTACATGCATGAGTAAGCAAATAGCTATCCACACCTTATCCCACAGATACGTAACAAGGTGTCGACCACAAACCACGATAGAATGAATGTGCTACAACGCACTGTATTGCGTAGGGGAAATGACTTGTAGTTTTGTGTTGCCAAGCGTATAAAGTCACGCAACCAACCACGGGCAGAGAAATGCGTACAGCATTTTTCGTAAGGCCTCAGTGCCTAAATATTATATTGTAAAAGCAGAAGTACTCAACAAAAGGAGTTAAAGTTGAAGACAAGGCTTTGTGGAGTTGTGCTCAGACAGAGATAAGTCAAACGTTTAAAGATATATTATATTCTTAAGGTCATAATCTTATAGAGACGTTAATTACTGTTATTGGAAAGTTAAGGAATAAAAAGTTATATAAATATAATTGATTCACACTGTGTTTGTTGCGAGTAGAAACAGAACCAAAAGCGAGTATTATCAAAGTTTATAGGACCGCGCTCGTAATAACTGCTTCTGACATCGCAATCACCCAATGTTTGCTTCTGTTTTTCTGTATTAAAGATAGAAAGAAAATGGCACAAATTAATTCTAAAAGGCAAATTTAATTGCTATTGAAATTAGTAAGATGGCTCCAGACGGTTTTATCTAAGTTATATAATGCAATATTTTGGTACTTTTTTATCAAATGATACATTTTCTGCAAACAGACCTCGGTCCGATATCGATTTCTTGATAAGAAGTTACTAACTCACCCCCAGTAAGGTTAAAAATAAGTCAGAAAAACTGAGGAATTTCACTTGCACGTCAAGGAATACTTGAATTTATTCCACAGACAGTAAACTGTCACTGGTTTGATAATTGTTATTTATGAATTATGTGGTCAAAAAACAAACGAATTAGTTCGTCATATTTCTTCTGGTAAAACGATCTTTTAATAGATTACTAGATAGATGATATCCGCTCTGTTGTACTTGGAATAAAAAGGTATTACTTTGTTTTGATTGTTTTTATTGTGTAATATTGAATCATTTTATATTAAATTTTTCGGCATTCTCGTTCCTACGGCTTCACCCTAAATCAATAATTGATTATCAATTCAAGATCATACCGAAAATGTATACCGAGAATATTTCAAACTATTAATAAATAATACAATATATTAGCAACATTAGATGAACTGTTTAACATTTAGAATCTTAGATATTTTAATGATGAACACACCACACACACATGCATCAGCATGATGCATAGCTGATCGATAGCTTGATCTGAGTTGAGTCATTTTGTGTAACACTATATAACACTTAATTCTCACACTGTGCCGGCCATTTAATGTTGGCTGTTTCTCTTTACATGTCATGAGCAAATCAAATTGTGGACAAGATACCTCTTGTCAGACTCAGGGTTACGATTACAGACAGGCTTTGGTTGGTCAAATATGTTGAATTTGCAGGTCGCAAGTCGCGTTTTCGACCAGAATGACATGTACAAATGCACTTCACGTGGTGAGATGTTGTCCAGAAGGACAGCACTTCCTGCCATTAATGACGATCTGCACAAATTGCAGAATGCCATTTCCGCCACGGGAAGTAGGCCGAATTATAGTCCTGTCTTTCGACAGCGGAGAGGGTCCACCCGAAAATGTCTTTAAGACACAATCTTGCAAAGGTGGCTGGCAATTGTGTGTATGTGCGTCCTTGAACAAACAGATTTGAAGATATCGTGCAGTTGCCGTGGTAGCATGATAGAACAAACATACGACAGGCTATGAGTTTGCAGGAAGGATCCACATACACACAAATAGGGGACTGGTATTATACAGACTATACAGCAAGGAAGCATAATGTTTGAGTTTTAAAGGTAGATATTAAAACAAAATTTTCAATGGTGGTACTTGCAGTTAGTTTTTATGGAACGGAAGCTAAGACGTCCTTTGGAGTTCTAATGTATCTCTCGTAACAGTCTGAAGACCAACATAATAGCGTTTTCATGAGCCAAGAGGTTAGGTTTTGATGAGGCAAATGGTAAGGCTTATCCCTTAAAATGCTTACTGTCGGCAGTACGGCAGGCTATGAGTTTGCAGGAAGGATCCACATACACACAAACAGGGGACTGGTATCATACAGACTATACAGCAAGGAAGCATAACGTTTGAGTTTTAAAGGTAGCTATTAAACAAAATTTTCAATGTTTGGTACTTGCAGTTAGTTTTTATGAAACGGAAGCTAAGACTAAGTCCTTTGGAGTTCGTAACAGTCTGAAGGCCAACGTCCTAGCGTTTTGATGAGCCAAGAGGTTAGGCCGGCTGAACCCGCAGCTTTAGCAGCTCCGATCCTGAAACTATGAGAGGCGTAGAGTTTTTCGGCTAGTCCTTGCCCTTGAAGTAGATGACGTAGGTGCGATGTTAGGGTTACACGTGTAAGTGGGACAGCTGATGTAAATTGGAACAGTGGACGAGTTGTTTGGCCAGAGGATGACTGGAGTAGATATGTTTTCATAGCTCGAACCGGGCAGAGTTATTAAGCGATGAGCCAATTGTTAAACGACATCCACGACGAAAAGGGTCGGTTTTGTATATAACGCTTGATCAAGACATCATAATATTCCGCGTGGAGGATATTTGGGTGGAAAATAATGTCATTGCGGGATAGGTGGCACTCGGGATCAAATGGAGAATTACACGTGAATTCACTACAGCGCTGGAAACGAAAAAAGGCCAGAGTGAAGGCGGCCCAAAGCATCACATTGTCTTTACCATGCATAATATATAGTGCTGGTGAATTAGTCTGTTGATCTGCAATTTAATAATGTGTGTATCCATACAGTTCACCTTGATGCATATTTACAGCAGATTGAGCCAGAGAATGTCTACAGCCTGCTACAACAAGACCAGTTTTATCTAGTTTGGATTGACGGTTGACCGTATTCCTAATGCAGCTTTCTAATGAGAGGAACCACCATAGGAATTACTTGAATGACCCTGGGGGAAAAAAATTTGATTTATAAGTATAACTCTTATGCAGTTTTGGTATGATTATTATTATTGTATACAAAACTGGTATCATTGCACAACTCTCCATAATTCCTCACAATCATGATCATACCTTAGCTGAGTTGTTGGAATAAACATTGTTCAAGTGCTCCGGCCTCTACCAGTTCATCATCTTCAATGAATGTATTTTCATAATCGCATTTTCTTTCACCTCTATAAACAAATTATATAAATCATGGACATTTGGTCAGTGTGATTTTAGCCAGGCAACAACACAATACCTTGGCGCACTTTTGTATCTATAAAGTTTAGCGTTTTCATCAACATGACACAAATGTTGGGATCTAAAACATGATGGGCAATTTGCCCATTGTTTTTCCTGTAAGATGTCAACTTTATGCATGGCAAAACACCATTCTTTGAATGCAGGATGAAACACTGATGCGTTGATGATGGCTGACTAAAAATTTATGAAGAAGATTATCTACAGTTTTAGACCACTTCAGGTACAAAATTTGATTGAGCAGATGCTTTACAATGGTACACATCTGGCTTTTGATATATATCTGGTACAGCTCTTATTTGCTAATTGTTCATTTATGATTTGTACAAATCTATGTACAGTGACCTGAGTATGATTTACTAACCTGCCCTTTTCACTAGATATGGTGGTCAAGGACTTAAGAAATGCTGTCGCAGATGTGCCTGTCATGTATTTTCACAGTGAATCCCAAACTCTGAACACATCTTCACAGAAGAAGTGAAAGATTCTTTTGGCCACCTGGCCCCCTTCATTTCCCCAAAGAAACTGGGCCCCCAATACCCTTTTTCATTAATTATCTTCTCCAGTGTTAATGGTGAGAACTGTTTATCACATCCAGTGCAACTGTATGTGAATAAATACAAATCAAATCTTCCTGCAAGAAAACATTGAACATTAAGATAAGTTGACAGTAACTACAATTTTAGAGCACATGATGTAGTGCACACTACTGTACACCATACACAGCTAAATCATACCTTTGGCTGTTATAAGAATGCACATTTCATTAGAAGGGATGATAGAAACTGTATCCTGGCCATTGCAATAAATACATTCTTTACAAAATAAAAATGGAGCATATCTTCCTGTAAAAAATGTAATAATCAGTCTATTTTATACAGTATAAGATTACTGAACCAGTACTTGTAGTTTACCTGAAATGATTGTATAAAAAAAAATGCATGCATAGCAATATTTATAATTGATATATTTCATAGTCTCTGGAACAAGAATATCAAAAATAGTCAGCATCTGAACAACCAATGATAATTTTTGATTATTAAATTTACAATAATCACTTACTGTTGAAGCCTGGAATCCATCTGGCAGGACTGTTTCAGTTGGAGGAACTGGTTGATAAAATCCATTTATCCAAACATCACGGTCATGATGCAAAGGTTTTATCTCATGAGCTGTCTCATCACAATTATTAGAGTAATGCATCTGGTCCACAGTGGCGACACCGAACAACAGCTCTGTCTTCTCTGCACAAGAAGCAAACAGCCCCAGTTTAGGAATTGCATAACTTTTTAAAACAGCAGCAAATATAGCAGATCTACTATTTTCCATGCAGCATCCACAGACTGCATTCTTTCTTGTCCACATGGACTGGTACTGGACTTCATCTCTTGGGTCAAACTTTCACAATTTACTATACAGGTGGTCAAATTTTCTACAAATTATAAATATGAATAGCACAGTAATGCTTGCACGCCAGCGTTGAGTAGTCGTAATAAGTAGTAGTAATAAATGAAACATCACGGTATATAGGGATGAGACTAACTTCTTTGTAGAGAAGCATCAGATGATTCTTCATTAATGATGTCAAAATCAAAACCACTATCTCATTCAAATGGGCAAAGGTCAACGTCGTCGCTCTCGAAAAATACAATAATTATTTATATAAAAAAATTATGATTAATTTACCAGAGACACTACTAGTTTGGCCAGAAGTAGCGCGCTTTTTGCTTTTTTGCGTTCAGCAACAGAGCGGAATTTGTAATTGGAATCACGTATTCTTTTACCACTGCTATCGTACGTGATGAAGAAGTCGCTCTGTTTGGGTTTTTTTTTCTCTATTGTACCGGTTAACTCCCGTAAGTTTTCTAAACTAGCCTCCAAGGAAAGCCGTTGTTGTGATAACCGCTTTGACGATTTAGCGCACTCTTTGGCAGCCGCCATATTGCAGTGTGATATTACCATAATATGCGCATCAGTGAGCTCCACATATATTTAGGTCAGTGACAGACAGTCACATGATTTTTGTCAAAGCAAAACTTACAATTCAAATATCTTTGTGATCAAAATACCGAAGTAAATCCTGATATTTCTTCTGGAAAATCGTCGTTTAATAGATTTCTGATATCAGATCTGTTGTACTTGAAATAAAAAGGTATTACTTTGTTTTGATTGTTTTTATATTGTATATTTATTTGTGCAATTTGCCAGTATGGAATGTCGAAATATTTTGCGTCGGACAGCTAAAATTTCACAACGAATTATGCGTCAAAATCGTCAATAATTTGCGCTGAAAAAAAAGAAAGTACGCGCCAAACTACCTACAAACTTAGGCTAAACTGAGATCAGACTGCTCAGTTGAACGGGATGAGCGATGAAGGCTAGATTTAGCTTACTAACTTTATAAAAATATACATTTTAATAGACCTCTCCCCTTTTAGCACTAGGCGCGCTAAGTATGGCACAGATTAGCTATATACAGAAATGAAACTTCTGTAATCTGTTGCATGACGATAGGAATATGCAAAGTTGCTTTCGAACGAAATGGCTGCCGTTTGTGCCGTGACTAGCAGCTAAATCTTGAAACTTTACAGTTGACGCCATCTTGAATTTGGCCGCGGAGAGGCGTGGATACTAGTAAGTTTACTTCCTCTTTTCAACAGACAATTACATCATCTCAGGTAATGCCCGGACGGCGGGCATTTGCTGAAATCATTTAGTTGTATTAATTTATTGTAATAATTAAGTAATATCAGTTATTAATGTTGTTCCAATTTAGTTATCATATTCATAAAGATTTAAACAGAGTACACAGCATATTTAATATCACGTTTTTAGTAACATGTACAGTCAAATTTTCATTTCCAAGAAAAAAATTTCAACAGAAACATCTTTTGTAAGTATTTAATAATACTAGTAATAGCCTTAGTAAAATTGACTAGTCAGTACTGATCAGACATCATTATTTAAACATTCGCAGCTCTGACAAAACCATTCATCATCTTCGTTATGGATTTTGACACATTCCCTGAAAGGAAATTAGTAAATTTTAAGAAATCATGAGTTTTATGTCCAGTAAACTTCATAATGCTTACCAATGGTTCCATGCCAAGCAATATTCGCACATTATCATGTTTCCCAACTTTGCATGGTTGCATGTGTTACAAGACCATTCATTCTGCAACTGTTTCACTGCAATGAATATTAGAATATATTATATTATGGAATAAAGTTTGGAAAATGGCTCCAAATGAAAAATTAATTAATGCTACTACTATACATACTTGCAACAGTAATTTTTCTCCATGCATCAGTAGTGGTGTATATCTTGATGTGGCTCAGAGCATAGCCAAGAGCCTCGGGTGGCGGGTGGTCCTCATCAAGGTGGATCTCATCGGCTGCTACAGGTGTTCCCCTGCACTTGGTGGCTCTTTTGATTACCTTCTTTGGCACACCAAAGGCACTGAGCAGTTCAGAAACTAAAGAAAAATAACATACTGTAAATTATTAATTAAATGAGTTGATATTGAAGATAGAAATTGTTTTTATATGGAAACGGAACGCAGAAGTACAACTTACTATCTGAATTCACATCAAAAAGTGCAACAGTTTCACCATTGCTTGGTTTTGTAAACCGTACATTATTTATTCGTTTCCTCTTTTTAGTTGACCGAAACCTTTGCTGTGCCTCTATTCTCTTGTTTCCTGGAGCTTTCTGGATTGGTTGGATGGGGGCAACTTTACCTTTCGCCATTGCTTTATACAGGTGATATGATGCGTTTATGTTCTTCCCGATTTGCATTAGGATATCTTTGTCCTGACAACCAGTTAGGTCATCAATCAGTGCTTGCAGCTTTTCTTGCACTGTTGCCTGATAGTGTCTGTATCCTGAGGAACGTTTTCCTTGTTATGTAGGAGCAATTTAACATCAAATGTTTCATCATTTGTGCTCAGCATGCAATCATGTGTAGCAGCTGTTTCACTTTCTTTGACCTCTTTAGTTAATAGGTACCGTTGCAGTAAATGTACATGCTTACATATGGTATGATGAATATGGCTGTCGGGACAGTCGCATACATATTGATGGATACATATTTCACAATCGTGACATTTCAGCTGGCATTCACTGTCCAAACAATGACTTGCTTGTCGCAACACTGTATATAACACATCATCACTTGTTTCACTTTTGATTTTCCACATTGATTTACCATCTTCAGCTACAACAGATTGGAGGGACATACTTTTGCTCCTGTCATGACGCTCCTTAATTAATTTCACCTTATAGGTAGACTTTCCTTTTGTTAGCTTGATGATCCTGTCGAAAAATTTATCCTTAATGTATTTTAGCAGATTTAGTAAACAATTATCCACTCTTTTATTCACCTTTCCCATCAGATAATCGTACTTAAATGCACGATGAAAGGCTTCAACTGTCATGTTTGTGTTAATCCCCAGCCCTTTCCTGTAGCAGTAAGCCCATAGTTCTGGCTTCATTACCCATTCCTTCTGAAAGTAAGTGGAAAATTCTTGACTCATATCTGGAAGGCGCTCAACAAGTACTTTCATGTACTTTTGAAAGGACGTTTCATCTACTTGTTGTAGCACAACTCTCAGCATCTTATATATTTCAGAAGCAACTAATGTATCCTTAACTTTTGCCCGAAGCTCGGTTTGCCAAGCACGGTCAACGTGCCACGTACAAAGAAGGCGTGTGAGGGGTCCTCCCATTACTCCCAACCAGGCATTATAAAATTGTGGTGCGATATCTGACATAAGCCAGCATGGTGACAGTACCCCACAGTTCTCCTTCAGGGCATTAAAAAATATGCTCAGGTGTACAACATCCTCGTGGTTGGATAACATCCATGCAATTGGAAGCCCCTCTCCAAACTCATCAAGGACAACAACAGAGTTTAAGAGAAAGTCATAGCCTGTTGTGCCATGGGTTGAATCAATGCAAATGCCTTTCATGGCAAATTTTTGAGCCATATTTTTTTGGAATGGTGTTTGTATTACCAAAAGAAAGTCATCTCTAGTAAGATCATAACCCTTGGGTGGTGCATCTCCTTGAAATTTTGAGAAGAGTATTGGGTTGTCTTCCTTGCTTCTCCATTCCTCGACAAATGATTTTACACTTGATTGATCATCAGGATGCCTCCGTGTATTGTCCAACCCAAAGGATACTTTAATATTAGTGATGTCCTTCTTTGCAACAATGTGATGACGTTTTAAGGTATTGCTATTCATAGCCTCTTCTCTTATGTCACTTAAAATTTTCTCTCTTGTAATTCCTTGTTGTAAGCTTACTGCTATTCGACCACGTCTATCCTTCGATATTCTTGTATGTTCTACCTGTATTGGGTGTCCACTATGTGTATAGCAAACATCTACCAACAGGCTGCCATCAGCATTCTCAACAACTTTCATACCCGCTGTGCATTTTTGCTGGATCTTACATGTTCCT